CTTCGGTATGTCTTTTATTTGCCTCCCAACGGCTTAAATATTTCTAGGCTTCAGTTTATTTTAATCTTTTTTTCAGAATGCAAATTTTTGGTGTTGATCCAATCATTAGTTTTCCATTTTATTAAGTATGATCAATTCATCTTTACATCTATGTTCCGATAAATTCTCTTGAAGTCTTTTTGGTAGGCGGTTCTCTGATGCTATAGCATAATTGTTTGTAATTGCTGCAAATTTCATTTTAAATATCGCTAATCTACGCTTTTCAGCGTTCATATTAAGGCCTACTGGGAAAATGACGACATTCGTATACTTAAAGTACTTAATATCTTTCTTCATTGATACACCAAGCGGCTTTAAGGCTTCTCAAGCATTTGTTTTAGTCAGAGTAGTCTTACAACGAAGTACGAGTATGATAGCCCCAGGCTAAGGCAACAGTCAAGTAAGCAGTCCTGCCTCTTTCCACATTCCTTAAACTATAATAATTCCCCTAAGACCAGGTGAGTGCAGACAGAAAAGCGATTGGGTTAGGATGGGGAGTTGTAAGAGACTAGAGAAATAATCTTTGTATCCATGTCTTGAGATGGCTGTCCCAGCTGCCTGATGTGCAATTTGGTCGATCAACCCGACAGCGAATATGATTCAAGTTGGCGAACGGTCCGTAATGAAAATTCCTTTCAGGTACCAGTGAAAAGCGTCCTCTTCCTCTATCAGGCCGTCTTAGAGCCGAACCTTATTCGACCAACATTCGAGGTGTAGGTGTTCCGGAAAAGTAACCAACCTACAGCTTCTGGCCACCTGCATGGTTTCCACCTCAAACGTAAAGCAGAGTACAAGCTAATTTGATCAGTCTATCTGTAACTCTGTGTGTGTCAGAGATAGAGTGCTTGCATATGTGCACAAAAGAAACAATTAGAGCCGGGATAGGTCATTTCTAGTCATGAAATTAGTACAAGGACTAAGGATGCCATTCCGTCCTCCCTTCTGGACGGCAGCTTCTACTTTGGCCCAGTCACGTCAGCGTCTACAGTATTCCAAACTGGGTCGTTGGCGTCACATAGCAGCGGGTTTTGTGTCAGAGGGTGTGATTTAAGATGCCATTCAACTCCAACTCATCGTCTTCCCC